CACCTGAAGGACGAGTTAAAGAAAAAAGACGTAGGAATACTCGTAAACAACGTAGGAATCACCGGCCCTTCGCCTTCTTATTTCTTATCGTTTAGTCAAGAAAACCTTCTGGATATCATCCACGTTAACATCGATTCAGTTTTAATAATGAATTGCGTTGTGTTACCAGAAATGTTGAAGAGAAAACGCGGAGCCATCGTCACTATTTCTAGTTTGGTGTCCATGTTTTATTTGCCTCTGTTTAGTTGTTACGGCGCAACTAAGGCCGCCTGCGAAGCAATAAGCTGCAGCCTTACCCACGAGAAATTGCCGGGTGTGGTTTTTCAAACGCTCATTCCTAGTTTCGTGAATACAAAGATTTTGGATTACAGCAACGGAATGTGGAATCGACTGTCGTTCTTCGCTCCCGATGCGGATTCGTACGCTAAGAGCGCGATCGGAACTTTAGCTTTATCAAATTATACAACTGGTTACTTGGGGCATTCTCTTCAAATTATGGGAAAATTCTTTCCAGAAATTATACAGAAATATTTGCATAAATGGTTAGTGTTTAATATGTTTGGAAAAGTGTCTATTCCTCAGTAATTAAGCTGGTTATTACTATTTTTTATAGAAGTTTATCCTTATTAAAGTTTCGAGATATTAATGTTTTTCGTTAATACGAAATACTTTTGTATTAATGTTTTTTTCTCTGTAAGACATGTATTTTAAATCGGCTTTGTACGCAAAATATGCAATTTTAAAGCAAAACTAATAAAATTATGAAGTAGATACGAAGGCTTGAATGTGTAAAATATTTTTACAATAATAAATATTACGTTTAAAACTATAAAAATCATTAAACGATACTTTGTATCCTAAAAATAAAGATAAACGGTAGAAAATTCTGTTGATTGTCTGTCAGTAAAGAAGTCTACTACCACTGACGGACGATAAATATAAGGTTTAGTAGAATAATAAATTATATTAACAATCCAGATAATTATACAAATATTATAATTACAATTCCTCCAATTTATACTGGCAATAATATTAATACAATAACACGTATGAGTAAATGTAGGTGAATTTAAAGGAATGCCACAGAGTTAGTGTTTGCGTTAGATTAAGTATAGGAGGAAAGAATTGTAAATAAAAATTATTATGAATATTTAACTAAATTACATACACTGGTTTTACATATAGTGACGCCTAAAAGATCATTAAAAGGCAATGTCAGAGAACTGCATCCTCAATGTTTCAGTCTTCTATCTTAAAGCTCAAACACATAGCCACGATCTGATCTGTCTTAGTTGCGGCTACAAGTACGATGATGTGAATTTACTAAGCCGAAATTTTGGCTTTTTTTTAAAGTAATTCACAGGAAACGTTAATTGATATCGGCTTTATTGTGTATTTGAAGAATATGCATTTCGGATTTTGATGACCCCTGTACAGTCTTTTTTATTTTTTATTTTTATTTTTTTTTTTTTTGCAGTGGACCCACTCCTCACCATCCTATCAACCCCGAATCCCGATAAACATAGCCAAATGTAAAATTTAATCTTGTGCGTGTGTAAAAGCATTATATTAACGTCAATATAATGCATTTACACACACGCAAGACGTCACTATATAGGGGAGACCGGGGCAACTTCGGCATGCGGGGCAAGTTTGTCAAGCGCTTTTTTTTAAAAACAAATTNGTCCGTAAACTTCACACGTGTCAAATACGTGAACCAATCACAGCCCAAGGATTTCTACAACGCGAAATTCGTATAACGAGGAACGTATCTTCGCGTTATAGGGGGGTCTACTGTAGTCCTACCTGATGTAATAAAAGGGTTTGGTAGGGGGTGTCCTGGAGCGGCAGGTCATCGATATGAATGTCGATGACGATGGATGGCGCCAGAGGGAATGGAGTTTTGGGTCGTGTGATTATCGGTAGGAATACTATGAGTGTGTGTCCAGTTCCGGATGTAATAGGCTATAGGGATCATCACAAGGGTGGCTCCTTCATTGATATGAACGAGGTGAATAATTTTCCGAGAAAGGCTATCCCTCGAAGCTTAGAACTCGAGAATTCTCGAGAAGGATAACTCGAGAATTATCTCGAAGTTATCCTTCTGGAGATAATTACTATAGTGTTTTATTAGATACTTCCTGTAAGGGCAAGCTATGGTCATAATATTGGTCGCGGGTTAGGATATTTTTAGCGGTCATAGGGAGACCAAAGCTGAGTTTGACGTAAGGATTCCAGAGTAGCCATCTGGGTTTTAATCAAGTTCGCGATGCTGGGAACGACATACATTAGTAAGCTGCCGATGGTATAAATACTATTCCGAATGCATTGAATTTGAGTGTTCCATGTTAGCCGAGCGGTAATGTAGACGCCTAGGAGCTCTTGATTTTGGAAACTTCGCGGATTTTTTTATTATTGAGGACGAAATCTTTGTTGCCGCGTAGATTTATGGGTATACAAAGGATCGCGCACTTCCGTGGTTGGCACTGAACTGAATTTTTCTGATTTCATCTGTGGAATTTGTTTAAAAACTGGACCGTATTATGATGCAATTGGGTCGGATACCTGCTGGACAAGAAGTCATGTAGCCAGAGTATTGAATTGTCTATTAGGGTTTTTTCCGAAGCCTTCCGGATAATGGGGGGTGTCTAATTGTCATAAGCACTGCAAATATCGAGTGTAGTAACGTTTATATAAGTAACCTTTATTCCGGAGTGTACAGCTGTATCATGAGGTGAGTTAAAAAGTCCCGAGTGCCTTTACCGGGAAAATCTCCAAAATGTTTATAATTAAACCAGTTATTGCGGGTAGCTATGCGCTGCCATCTGTAGAGGATCATCAGTTCCATCGTTTTCTTAACCGTAGAAGTGAGCGCTATTGGTCGGAAATTTTCCACCAAAATAGGCTCTTTCCCTTATTTAGGAATGGGAGGATTAGTATTTTTTACCTTCGATGGTATGCTGCTCGACGACCATATGGAGTTGTAAACCACCAATAGGTAACACCTGGCCTGACTATCGAAAACCTTTAGTATGTTTGCCGTAATTCTGTCGGTCTCAGGAGTCTCGTTCCAACCTTTATTTATTGCGATATCCAGCTCTCTGTCAGTGAAGGGGTGATTGTATGGGTTCTGCTGGAAGGTAGTATTATTCGGGCGTCTAATAATCAGTTGTTGTTCCAATAAATGAGGGACAAAGTAGTTGAGAAATTTAACCGCTTGTTCTTTCAGGGTGGTTAGCGTACAGTTGGCATGGCGCAATATAAAGTGACTTGCGGGGGAATCGTTTCTGTTGCGAAGGAGGAGGAGATTGCACCATGTGTTGTTCTTGTACGGGGGAGAGAACGCCATGCGTTTCCAAAAAGCACGCTTCTGGGCAATGATACAGCGCTGTAATCCGCCGTTGCTTTTTTCGCTTGGATCCAATTATCACGATTGATGTGCCTTTGATATCGATTGTAAGCTTTACGCTTGGAGGCAACAATCGGGATTCCACCACGGGGGTTTAAGAAGCCGGCTGCTCTGCTGTTCCTAGTATTAGATCTATGGCGGTGCCTGGACCGTTACCATTTACATTAAGTGCGTGAGACGCCCGTCATTTAACAGAAAAAAGTGGGAAAGGTCGATGAGATCGACCATAATACGGCCACGTGTATCGGTAGAGCGATTGCCCCACAACACGTGATAGACATTGAAGTCCCCACCCAGTATAATCGTCTGGATCGGAAGATGCCGAAAAAAATCGTTAAGTAACCCATTCGGAGATAGAAGAGGAAAGTAGGCATTTATTACCTGGATGGCTTGTGGCACGTGTATTTCTACAATGAGCAATTCTGGATCGCCCTATCTCTGATGTTCTGGATTCTCAATATGAGCACGGAATAGATTGATGAATGTATGTAGTTATCCGGTACCAGAGGAGGTGGTCCTTTTGTGGTATCGGTGCGATGTGTGTGTGTTAGGCAGTATACCCCGGTAAGTTAAAGATGGAACCAGGTTTCTTGGATGAGTATGACGTGATAATTCTCCCATATACGATCGGTATTTAACTGCACCATAGAATGTTTGTTTTGTCTTACCATTGACCATTCTTCAGAAATAATATTTTAAAAATTCCCTGAACATTGGTTGTTCGAATGTGGGTTTGCACCTGGCCAAAACGAACTGGCACGTGGAGTTTTCAGGTTTTCTCTACGTCTCTATCGCTTGAATAGAGGCCAGTTACCTTTAAAAGGTCTCCCTGAAGACAATATTTCTCCGCTTTCACGTAAGTCCAAGCAGTTGAAAAGCTTCAGCCGGATCATCGGATACTCACACCATCTCTCTATCGGAGCAATATAACCAGAAAGGCTAGCACTCCATATAAACAAAGAGGAATGGATAATAAAATGTATGAATAAATAACACGGGAAAGTATTGTAATTGTGTCAAATTTGACCCTCCAGGTTTTTCACAAATTTCGATGTTTTGAGATCCTTTGAACCCAAAACGTTAAAAAGTGGGGAATAAAATCCATGGATACGCGTGCGTGGTGCTTCTGAGTATATTTCAGGATGAGGTAAAGATGAAGAAACGAAATTTGGTACGATGACTTGTATATAAGGGTCATTAATAGTATTAAATTTTGGGGATAATGGTCAAAAGGTTGCGAGATAGAGGAGATCATGTTTCATATCTCGATTGGAATCGGAACTTAATTAAGAAATGTTTCTACAAACCGGGTGAAACCTGAAGTAACATTACTTTTCGCGAATGGAGTCCGACAAAAAAGCATGTTGCAAACTTTCCAGGCGAAATCGTAAAAGTTATGCAACTGGTCGATTGATTTTTTTTACTTTCGATCATTTTATCAAGATTCAAACAAAAAATTATAACTGATTGAGCGTGATTTCAGACCCACGCGGGTTCTAGAACCACTTCCTTTGATAAACCTACAGTAATTTGATTATTAACATTTTCCTAAAAACAAAGAGGAAATTACTAATTATATTCGACTTTTGTGATAAATCCTACTTAATTTTATGAGTTGGCATTCACAATTTTTTTAATAGAAATTTATCATCAGCAATAAGATGTTTTTAAACGTTGCATTCATTATATTTTAGCTCATTTGTGGCACACTGCCGAATAAACTGACCTCGCGGGTCAGTTTATTCGGCAGTGTGTCCCCTATTCAAGAGCGTAAGGTGAAGCTAATCTTTAGCAATAAAAGTGTTGGTATTATCGTTACTTCTGGGGAATTGAAACACTGCAGAAGAATTGCGGGTTATCTAAATATATAAAATTGCTTGTCCTGACTGACTGACTCACTGACTGACTGACTGACTGATTCATCATCGCCCAGAGCAAACCGCTTAACCTAGAGAGGTGAAATTTGGTAGACAGTTAGGGTACGTCATGGAAACGCACACTAAGAAGGGATTTTTCAAAATTCTCCCGCGGGGGGAGAGAGGGAGAGGATTAAGGCTTAACCGGAAAAACGGCTTCTACTGTACTATTTTAGATGCAATTTTTTCTTTTCAACTACGTTTAGTCTTCATTGAGTACTTAGGTGTATTAAATTGATAACATTTCAGACATTTCGATT